TGCATACTTCTGTAGCTGAGCTTTTCTAGATGGCATTTGCTTTATTTGTATTGATGCCATTAGCACAACAGGTTCCTTTCTAGCAGGCAGAAGTGTTCAGGATGTGTGTGTGTGTATATGTGTGAAAAAGTCAGGATGGTGACTGGAACCATGCAATTGAAGCTACACCCTATATGTATCACATGATCCATTAAAAAAGGGCCAGGGCTTCAATCACATGGTTGTGGCTGCCATCGTAACTGTTTTGAGTCCCCCAATGTCTCTCCCAGCAGAGTCCTTCCTCCCTCCCTCCCTCCCTTCCTCTAGAGAACTTGGAAATACTTTTGGTGTCTTTTGCCAAAAACATCTGCAAGGACTTTTAACAAGAAATGAAGGTTAAGAGTAAAGATTTTTGGATTTTACCAGTTAAATGAACTTGATTTAGCTGCTTTGTGCCTGCTTGTCAACTCAGATACAATGAGCAAGAAACATTACAAACCAGATCACTTTCTACTGACTAAGCCCTAAGATTTCATTTAAAGATATTCATCTTTAAGTACTACAATAAAACAAAGACAGACGGTCACAAAAGACAGCTTGTTATCCTGCTTCTGTTTAGGAGCACAGCCACCCAAATAGGGCTGATCCAAGATATTTTGCTGCCTCACCCAGATAAGATCCTTCCATTCTCTGTATTTCATTTATAAAAGCCAGCCAGGTTGACAGTTGCATTTGACTTCAACCCTGGCAGGGGGCAAGATCTTCAAGTAACAAGTGCATGTCAGGATCTGATCATACAACTCTGACCTTTCCACCAACATGAATGTGCACAGTGCAGAGAAAAAGTATGGGGTCATAATATAAGAACGAAATCAAGAAGAGCAAAAGAAATATGAAAGTAGGAGACTACAGGTGGTAGTGGTGGGTCATGAATTCTATAATATAAAATGCCCAAATACTTCCTTTCAGTGACAAACTAAATCTAAGCATTCATACAATTATGAAAAACTGTTTGGACAAGTCATGATTATTTAAAATACTTACCAAAGGCTTATTTCCACAATTACTGTGAATTAGCAACTATGCTTTTTATATCAACTGTAATATGAATGAATAGAAATCCAAATTTGACTTAGATCACAATACACTGGATATCACAAAGCATTTCACAGTGAAAGCCACAACTTGCTTATTATAAAATTTGGTGCTTTTTAGTTCCAGTAAGATAAAAAAAAAAAAAGATGAAAAAATGAGAACCAGTTTGATGGCATGGTTAAGGCATTGGGCTAGAAACTGGGAGACTGTGAGTTCTAGTCCCACCTTAGGCACAAAGCCAGCTGGGTGACCTTGGGCCAGTCACTCTCTCTCAGCCCTAGGAAGAAGGCAAGGGCAAACTGCTTCTGAAAAACCTTGCCAAGAAACCTGCAGGGACTTATCCAGGCAGCTGCCAGGATTCAAGACTGACTTGAAGGCACTCTCTCCCCAAAAAAGAAGATAAAAATGGCCTTCTTTCTGGTTCTGTCCATTAAAACCTCATGGAATCTTGTCTCTTTTTATGGAACATAAGAATGCGTGGCTATGCTAATGATATTGGCTTGAAAAGACAATGTTGACAACTATGCAGGTGTCCCAGATGGGTTCCATCCATGATCAAAACTCTTTGATACCCTGTTTCATTTCTTCTCGTTCATTTTAATTTGTCCCAATTTTCTGCAAATTATCCCCTGACAAGGAGCATGTATCCTATTCTTTAGTTCACATATCTTTAAGTTGCCCAACTGATTATTTAAAATTGAATATAGCTAAATATGATAGTTGGACTTAGCTCTCTTTGAAGTGGGGCATGGCCATCTGACTGATGGAATTAAAAGCTGCTTTTCTGCCTAAAAGAATCATGAGGGAAACCATCTGAGTACTTGAGGCTGAACATTAAACATTAACTGCAATAAATAATATATTTATGGGGTTGAATTCAAAGAAGCACATGTAGAATGAAATAACTGCTAATTCAAGAAGATTGCATGGTAGTTCACACAATATTATAAAAGGAAGTTTTTATAGTAGTTCATACCTTTCTGCTAGTATGAGAGGTTTCACTCTCTCTTTCATAAGTCAAAGAACATATTTGTGTTTCATTTTGTGTTTTTCTGATTCAGTGCTCTGCAGAATATGCAAAAAAGTATATTATGAATAGAATACAGCTCCTGTCAGAACACAAGCATCTTTTAGATTTAATCAGTTCGGAGCCTCCTATTTGATCTTTTTTTGTTGTTTTTAATGCTAGGATTCACTGAGTATTCACCAAAACCATAAATCTACTATATATTGATGATATTTCCTGTTTGGAAAAATTGCATGTACAGTATTTTATAACAGGACTGATACGATTGCAATCTGATGCATTTTAAGTGTTAATGAAAGTAGTTAGCAAATGGGTCACAGTAGGGGTTACAGTGTTGTGTGAATAGGAAAACCTGGGTCAATTGACCCAAGCAGTTAATCCTAATGGGTCTATGTGGAACTATTGTAGTTTTTGGTCCCTCCTAAGGCCATCTGGGAAGAGGTATGGCCCTTAAACATGGGGTGGCACTGGCCACAGTCATTCTACCACCATTTTTCTTCTCTTCTCTCCTGTGTGCACATGGGTCGATTAAAAATGTAGGAACAAATTTCTTTTGTAGCTTCAGAAGAAAATGCAGTTACAAAGCATTTAGAATCCTAAATAGAGCTTCATTAAAAGTAGCTCTATTGCCTCCTTGCTTTCTTTGATATTATAGTGCTAGAAACAGCCTGTAGCTTTTAAAGACTGAAAAGTCTCTTTGATTGGTGACAGCAACAGTAAAGTAATTGCCAGCATAACATTCCATTTTTAGGTGCACTTCCCTTATCAAAGCTTCTTACTTTCTTTGACTTTTTTTGTTTTTGCATGAGCAAGAAAAGCCATGTTGTTCAAGATGTGCATCTTCTGTTTGTTGGTGCATGCACTTCTGCTCCCTAGAGAGGATCTACTGTGTTTCTGCACCATTTTCACTTTTTTCCCTCTCAAATTCCACTTTAGTTGGGAGTATTTATATTACAAAATTTATTTTTAGGGCTTGAGCACGTTTAGTAGATATTCACATTAGAGGAATGGATGGCAGAGGACTTGATATAAGTTTACCTTTTGTCCACTCTGTTTCTGTTGTCAGACACATTTGTGCACCAAGTCCTAGTCAAGAAAGTGTTCCATAAGGAAGTCGGTACAGTTTTCCATTTGATAAGGCCAGTGATAGTGCTGTGTGAGTTGTTTTTCCCTCTTTGGGCCAACCTTTATCGATCAAGGAAGCAGATCAGAGTCACACAGTTTTTATTTATTTATTAGATACAAATCCTGCTGTGAGTGTTGCGTGGACTGCTAGGTGGGATAGAAATTTAATGGATAAAGATGTACAAATAATGAAGAAGAATCCACTTTTCAAAGAAGCTGTTAATTTAAACACCCCCTCCTTTTTATTCATTTACTGATCTTATAGGATCATAGATCCACCCAGTGCTATGTTTGAAAGGAATCTTTTATTACCACTTGCCAGGCCCAAGAAGTCACAGTGTTGGACAGCTGGCAAGGCACAGGTTTCCTAGCAGAGTCCACTGCTGATATATGCCTGTTTTTTTGTGTGTGTTGTGTGTGCTTTCAAGTCAGTTTTTGACTCCTGGCGGCTGCCTGGATAAGTCCTTGCAATTTTCTTGGTAAAGTTTTTTGGAAGTGGTTTGCCATTGCCGCCTTCTTAGGGCTAAGAGAGTGTGACTGGTCCAAGGCTACCCATGTGCCTTCCTGCCTAAGGCAGGACTAGAACTCACAGTCTCCAGATTTCTAGCCTGATGGCTTAGCCACTACACCAAACTGAGTCTCTGATATGTACCTTAGATCTACTTTTGAAGAAAGTCTTCAATTGGACACTGTAGGCAGAAGCAAGTGGTTTGGTCTCTCCACTACTAAGTTCAGAACAGCATCATTTTGTGGGAAATCTAAATTTTGGTTGGACTACTAAAATTCTACCAACTATAACCCAACTGTCAGCCCTCTGAGATAAAAAAAACAAACCCTGCAGGGACTCAAGGAATGCTGCTTTATTGTTGTATGAACAGTATTGTAGAAATCTTAATTGCACCTTTTTAAGGACAACAAGGTCAAGGCAGGGTTATTCTGAATTTCTTTCTCATGCTTTATATTTCCCAGGGGTGAGTAACCATTTCACCTTTTCCTCCTCCTTCTTAAGGCCAGAGTTAAATTTTTCTACAAATACTTGGCTATCAAGCTTTATTGTCATCAGAATTAATTTTCTCTCACCATAGTCCAGATTTTTACATCCCTGATGCTGTAATCTTATATTGCCTGTTAGTTATTCACTGATGTGGTTTGCATCACTTGCACCCAACAGAAAAGCACAATTGGGAACAAGGAGGGTTTGGAATTACCAAATGCTGTTCTATTACAGAGAAGCCCTTCCAAGATGTGTGAGTGTCTTATATTTCACTGTAGAGTCATTTCTCTGGCAATCTGCACCCTCGTTGGCTTCCCATACTTCAATAAATCTCAGGGGAAGGCATGACTCCTCCCATTGGGGTTCTTCATATTGGGAAGCGTGAGCAGCCAAGGAGGCTTCAGTGTGATGGAAAGCTCAGGAACAGAAACAAGAGAGTAATAGTACTTTCCTCTACCTCCAACGATAAAATAGATACTCAGAATAAATGGTCAAACACTCCAAGAATATAGAAAAACATGACCTTTTCATAGGAGAAGAAAAGTTTTGAGGAATTGCTAGACTGACTTTGGCATGGCATTATCTGAGACCAATTATAGGACAAATCATCTTTGGTGGCACTACTGTAGAGTTTGATTGAAACTGACAACATTGGTATAGTTTTTCAATTATTATTTCAAGTAATTTTCAATTATGGTAGGTTCCACTGAATCTCATAACACATCATGTAATAATATATTATCCTCAAAATGGAATTGATTCTCCTTGTTTTAAATGCAGTTACTTTGAACTGGAAAGCAGTGGCCTGAGAGATGAAATAAGGTATCACTACAGATTTAATGGAAAGACAAGAACAGAAGTATTTCCATATCGGCTAGCAGATGGACAGTGGCATAAAATTGCATTGTCACTCAGCGCATCCCACCTCTTGCTTCATGTGGACTGCAATAGGTAAGACATTCTTCACCATGCTTTTCCCCCCCCGTGAGTAATGCCTACTTCTTCAACATAAAACTTAGTGCTGAATGAAATTTGAAATGGAGTTTTATATGCTCCAAAATGTCAATTGAATATTTGAGTGAAAAGAAAAAAATGGCATTAGAATTTAATAGCAAGCTTCTGATTATGAACTAAACTCTAGTTGCTGATTTTGGGGTGGTGGGAAGGTACTGCCTTATTCTCTAGATATGAGTTGAAGTTATTTTTAAGTGCAATGCATTGTATAGTCTATTTTTTCTGAAGAAGGCTTCTCTCAGCATGCATCTAATATCTGAAGGTGTAATTGTAGCTTCTAATTTCTTTTCATGTAATAAATGCCTTAAAATATTCTTTAAAATCTTTTTCAAACAAGACATTCTACAAGAAAAGAAAAGAACAGTAAAGAAAGAAGACACGCCTAAATTGCTTTTATACTTTTGTAAGAAGCCAAATCTGGAGACGGTAGCTCTACCTTTTTTTTAGATAAAAAGAGAACCATGCACTTGACATTGTAACATTTATTTGCGAATGGAAATAGAATAGACAGTATGAGGCTGGTATAGAAGTGGAGTGAGATTATGTGATACAGTACTAAGTAATGTTAACTAAATACTACTTTTTCCCTAATACCTTTGTGATAGGCACTTTTTATATATCCGAGAACATAATGTTAATACATTAGGACCTGTTCTCATTTTGCAAACTTAGCAGTTGTTTGCTTAAAAAATGTTTAATATTTAAAGCTGTCTCCTAAATGTTTACTTGAGTTGGCATAATGAAATGAGAAAAAGATCTGCAGGGAGGAATTCCTGATATATACTAGTAAGTGTTCTTATTCAAGGGTTATCAATTTTCAGCTTTTTTGATTATCCAGGATAACTGTTTTAAGAAGGACATAGAGAAGTATGTCTTGGTTTTTTGCATCTTTTTATTGACAGATATAGTAATGGAAGTGGCTAACTCTTCAAACCCCTGTGTAAAAGTTATAATTATGTAGAAATTGTTTGCCTAAGCTAAAAGAATTGCTAAAATGTTGAATATCCTGACTGATATTTTTATTTATTTGTTGAACAATGTAGAAATTGTTTCCTTGACATATATATAACCCACCAGGTACACTAAGTTTTTATTTGCAAAATACTGGAAATAATTTTTCTACATTAGGGGTGCTCTAATGGTTTATTATACTCGAAAATTATAATATGTGCTTCTTTTGATTATGCTTATCAAAGATCACTAGTGCATATTGAAAAGGATAGAGTTTAACCACACTACATAAACATATAATTGTACAGTATAAATAGCAGAGTACCTGCAGTTCATATTCCACAACGTATTTAACTGGGTCAATTGAGATAGTGTACAAAGAGGGATAGTGTACTAAGGGCAAATCAAAAAGGGTTTAATTAACTTCATCATTTAACCCCAAAGAGTTAAATATAGTTGCCTAGTCATGCACAGGGTTAAAATAACTCCATGTAATTAGTTGCATCTTGAAAACAGCTAAATCCAGTCACTGGATCAGTTTTGCAACCTAATCTAAGAAAACAAACTGAAAAGAAGGAAGGTGTGAAAGGAAGCCTTTATCTGGCTGATTTTTTTATTTTGAAGAACAAGATATGCATTTGGCTATGTTGAGTTTTTCTTTCCTTCAAAATAAAGAACTCTATATTCCATGGCTGCTTCCCCCCAGAGTTCCTACTATTTCTACTTCTTCAGCTGAAGCTTTCCAACTGTTATTCTCAAGTCAAGGATCCTCTCAAGCCTCTTCCACTCTCCAAAAGAGTAAGTTGTCAGAAAAACAAGTCAGGATTTTCCTGGAAAGACCATGCGAAAGAGAGTTTGTCTTCCAACTGGTATTAGCATAATCTAAGTCCCTCACCACTGCAGCTTCATGCTACTTTGAAAGATCTGACTTTGTTTCTGGAAGGCATCATCCAGATCTTCTTGTTGATCTTGGATAATAGGCACCAGAAGAAGCATTGTTTTTATTTGTTTCTCTACTTATTTTAACTCAGGTGCTCTCTACACCATTGTTCATTTATATTTCTGAGCAGGAATGGATATTTTCAATATACAGTGCCAGTCATCTTTCCTTTCTGTTGCTTCTGTTTCTTTTGTACAAATTCTGTCCTTCAACTGCTACATTTCACTCATGGAAGTCATCCCACCATGTCTCCATTACTGAATCATATTTGTTTCCTTGTACTAACAGCTCAACTCGCTTAAGAGGCAAAGAAGATGTTTCTCATAATGCTGATATGCTTTGCTTTAAAGTAAGCAAATAAACAATATTCAACATACAGTATGTGTGTTAGATTGTGACTGTAGTGTCAGGGAAGAGGATGGGGTTGCCTGATTAGCATTCTGATCCTTGTAAGCTTCTGATACAAAGAAGCTTCTAATATATCAGTGGACAACTCTCACAAGAAAGCTCTCCTGCTCTTGCTCTTCAGACTTGGAGGATTTTATGCCCATGATGATATTCAGATATTGACAAGTGTAGCCAGTCTCCACATTTATCTTTACTTTTAAAGTTTTCTTATTCTAAGTATTGTCAATGTTCTGCCTTGTTCTGACAACCAGAGAATTTGATTCTGATCCTGAACTTGAGTTCTTAGTGTGTATTTCGCCATGTTAATAAGATGGCAGTTGTGGCCAGGGGGCCTTTGCACAACTGCCTGTTGTGTGCTGATTGTGTCCATTCCTGGACTGGGAGACCTTGCTTATAGTTACTCACATCCTAGTCACCACCTGATTAGATTGCTGTAATGTGCTGTTCAGAGGGCTGCTTCAGCTGAACCAGCTTCAGTTGGTTCAGAATGCAGCATAGGTCATATTGGGGGCAGCTCATTATGCCCATGTGACATCGCTACTGCCCAAGCTGCACTGGCTTGTATTAGGCTTCCAGGTGTGATTCAAAGTGCCGGTTATCATCTTGAAAGCTCTACATGGCATAGGACCACTTTTTTCCTAAGAATATCTGCCTGGCCCCCATGCTCCCACATGGTGAATGTACTCCAGTTTCCCTTTTTAAAACATTGTCATCTTATGGGACCTAGGAAGCAGGCTGCCTCTGTCCTCTGGGATGATCTCCCCCTGATATAGGACAGGTTCCAACTATGTTTGCCTTTAGAAAAGCAGTTAACCTGGATTTTTCTCTAGGCATTTGGGCCCAGTTGAATGGAGTCCCCTTTTGGTTGTTTAATTATCCAATTTGGTTTACATTTTATATATTGGATTGTTCTTTTTAAATGCTGTATGGTTATTTTTCTTGGTGTATTGTTTATTTCTGTTGTATGTTGCTCAGAGTCACATTGAGTATAGGCAGCCCTATAAATCCAATCAATCAATCTAATTATATGGTGAAATGAATACAGCCTAACAAATGTATATTTTCCCAAAGATGTCAACTGATAGGACATATGCAACTTGGAAGGTGACCATGGAGACACGATATCCTTGAAGCCATATTTTTTGAAGGAAGCCCTCCAGTGGAGACTCACCTGCCTTTTAGTAGAACCTCCCTTTTAGTTCTGGGGCCCCTCATGATTCTGGTGCCCCAAGAGCTGTGGCAGTAATATGGCCCAAACTTAGGTCCAATAGTGTATTTCCATTTAGCAAAGGGTTCCATTAATCTGTTGATTTTGGAGAAATAAAAATAGAAATAATAGCAATAGAAAACTAAACATTGTGCCCAATCTTGATCTTAAATACTTCTAGACTGAGAGCAGGACTATTCAACAGAGCCCTAGAGGTTGATAGACACATTGAATGGCCATACCCACTTTTAATATAGGAAAGACCATTTTCTGCCTTGTTAATTAATCAGTGCATTTCCTTTTTTTGTGCTCTAGTGACTAGTTGCAGTGTAGTTGTTGGGGAACCTGAGTGAAAAATTATACCTTCCCAACTGCAACTTATCTATAACCTGCTACTTTCTCTATTTCTCTATGAGATCAGGAGGGAGAAATTGCTGGCAGATGGGTGAAGCTGGTTAAAACATGTTTCACTTGATAGTCCATAGTTTCTCATCATATTATTTTTCCGACAAAATCTTGGACTGGGGATGTGTGATGGTAGGGCTGTGTAGTGCTTTGGATTAAAGGGAAAAAGATGTTTTAAAATTTGTGGGGGCATGAAATTAGTGCCTGTCTGCTGCTCCTTAAAGCAACTGTACTTTTTCTGAGGAAAAGCCATGTTTTGTTAAAGAACTGCATGCAAGTGCTACATTTGTACTCCTGCACACCCCGAACTGCTTCTTGAATTGAGAGGGGATTGCTTGCCCTCTAGAATTTCCTTGATGTGGTTCTAAAGCATAGGTCCTTCCTCCCTGCTAGTTCACTTTCTCTCTCATCTTTGCAATTTTGAATGCAGCACCGAAAGCATGCAAGGTAGGTTCAGGCAATTCCTGAAATGTTATAAACGCTGCTTGAAAAGCTGTAGGAGACAAGATGAAAGAAAGATAATGAACTTGATCCCGCCACCCTTAGAGTCTTGACTGTAATGAACTTAACTACTTCTTTTCTAATCCTGATAGATAGCTAGGATGACTCAGCTTCTCTGACATGCGTATGTCGGGTAGAGTTTTATTTTTTTCTGCAGGATAAACAGCTTTCTGCAAATGTCCAGTTGATACAATTTCAAAAGGTAGAACTTCCTAAGGAATAGCTACAATAAGAAGTCCCTATAAAACAATCTTAAATAATTTTTTTGGTGTCATTGAGTGCTAGAGAAGTAATTGCAACCTGCTAAGGGGATATGGGAAACTTTCAGAATTCTTATAACATCCGCAATTGGGGTCCTGGGCCAGTGCAAGGAGAACACTGTAAACGTAAAATAAACAGAATGTTTTCTGACTGAAAATTCTTCCATATTCTTTGATCCTCTGCAAATATTCGCTCTGAGAGAAATCCTGAAATCACTTTCAAAATGCTTGATACCACTTGGTTTTCATATAACCTTTAAGTACT